AGCACATGGCTGGAGAGCTGCTGACACTTCAGCATGTTCAACCACTTTGGACTCCAAGAGCAGCATCATTAGACTAAAGCAGCAGAGCTTTCTTTCTGCTTTATTTTCTACCATCAAGGGCTACTTAAAAAGCTGAAAAGACAAAAAAATTTTAATGTTAACAAACATCACGTTACTAAGATATTAAGAAGATTAATCGGAGTTCTCCAATACTTGCCAAGTTTTCCTCTCAAAGGCTTTTCTTAATTTTTCTCATCATTGAGTCTTTGACTTAAGCCCAGACCAAAAGAGTAAAGATGAACAGAGCAAGAGATTGGGTTGCCAGGGAGCTTGAAGGTATGTTCAAGTCTCTCTGTGCATCACAGTCCGGCCAGTGGAGACTGCACAAGACACTGCACTGAAAATATCTACTTATCATTATCGTGGGAAGACATTTGACGTAATTAACTAACCTGGATGATTCAGTTTTTTTCATCCTACCTCCTCCAAGAAGAAAAAGGTTACTAAACCCGCTAGCTTTTCCTCATCCACTATTACTGTGTGAGCTCTGAAATTTTCTTGTATTTGAAGATTGTGTAACAGCTTATTTTTGGGAGGCTGAGGGTGGTAAGGAGAAGCTCTGGGCTACTACTTAACTGAAAAAGGACAGAAATGTGCGTTTCCAATTGATTGTTATTTTAACCTACCACCTCTGGTTTCCTGGCTGTAAGAGCAGATGTCTCCTAGTATATCACTAATCCTGACTCAATGCTTAAAAGGACAGAGAAAGAATACAGCAAGGTCCATGAAACTTCACGCATGCCTAAGGCAGGGAATCGTGAATCAGCATGATGGACGCTGGCCGGGTGGGGGTGCCATTAAGAACAACTGGTGGAGGGGAGGGGGAGAGATTTATATGGCAATTTAGTTGAATAGTTTATTATCTGGGGGACCAGAAAGAAGCACTTGCTTCCATTCAGAAAAAGTAAAGGCAGGAGATATAAACAGTCTACTAAATTATAAACTGTTCTTATAGACTGCTATAAAAATTAAACACACACATTTCTCCAAATCATTAATCATTAACATCAAAAAATATTACTAGTAGCAAATTATAGAATGCTTTAAAGTTAGTGTCTCTTCAAAGATGTTCAAAGTTGCCAGCTCTGGTTAGGTTGCACTTCATACCTCCTGTCTCTCAGTTCAGCAATTTATTGAACATCTACAATATGCCCACAACACACCAGGTCCTGGAAATACAGGTAAATTACCTATCAGAGACAAGTGCACTCTGATCATGAGATGCTTGTAATAAGATTGGGAAGAAGACACTGTACATGTCATTTTAATATAAGGGGTTGGAATTAAGGTGGTAACAGGACACACAAGGTGCTGTTGGAGCAGAATGAGGGAACATGAATGAGTTCAGGGAAGGTTTCCAAGAGGAAATGATGCCCCAAATGAGCCCTAAAGGAGAAGAGGTATTTTACCAGGGAAGGGACATTCCAGAAGGAAGAGGAAGTACCTAAAGTGGAGAAGCATGAAGCATCAGAATGGACGCTGCCCATGGTGGAGGTGGCTGGTAGTCTTGCATTTCTGGAGACTAAGTGAGAGATGGGAGTGACAGAAGCCAGGACACAAAGAACTCCCATGTACCATCCTGGTCTGTAGGTGGCCAGATGCTACTGAAATGCCCTACTTAGAGGAATGACCCAGTCAGACCTGGGTTGCAGATTCACTGCTCTGGTAACTTAAGGAGCAAGATGGAATCTCAGAAGGTGAGAGAAGAAGGGGGGGGTGACTTCTCACAACCTGGGTACTCCAGAGTCACTATCAGGAAGCAGCTACATGTGGATGTCCTGGAGAGAACACGGGAATGCCATGGAATCACTGTGTCTAAGGAACAGCTTGGAAACTCAGTGCACCACTCAAGGTCTCTGCCTGGCCGCCTGCCGGGATCACATGCTGCCTCGTGTGAGCAGCTGCTTGCATAACCAGCTGCCCCTGGCAGGGTGCAAGGTGGAGCTGGGCAGGTGGATCTCCTCCTCCATCAAAGTTTGTTTTTGACTCGAGGTCTGGCATGGAGGCTACTAGTAAACAGGAGAACAGAGCCTGTCAACTCTGTTCATTATAGCTACACTGACGTCTCCTTGCAAAGAGAACAACTCTGGACACCCAGCTTCTCCTTTCCTTTCCTCTCTCTAAGTTAACGTGTGAAAAAGCATTGTGCTTGCCAGCTCATGGAACACTAGTAAGTAAATGTTGTCACCTACTCCTGTAGACCCCATAGTTCTTACCAGCCCTACAGGACTGCTTGGGAGAACCCGGGGCTACCATCACACGAGTCACAGCAGTGACTACCACTGCTGTGGGGCTACCATCACACATCACACAGAGATCTCAGCTCATGTCCTATCCTCTGCAACTGCTCTGCCTCCACCCGAGCCTAAACAACTCGCAGCAAAGTGCTAACCTCAGAAAACCTAAGAAATGAATAAATTGCATTCATTCCTATCAACTGAAGGTGTCATTCCTTGCCTCACCTTTAGTCCCACATCTCTGACTTCCTCATCTTTTCTTAAACCATCCAAAAAAGTCAAAGCCGAATGTTTGTTCCCAATACTCTTGCTCTAAAGTATCCTTTTCTTCTGTGACCAAAACCTTCTTTTCCCACAATCATGCAAAATCTCACTCCCTGCCTTTCCCATACCATCTCTATCCATATAATTGCCTCTTCTCTTGACATAACTCCTGTAGTCATCATTAATCATTGTGTAACCGTGCATCTCTCCTGGTCATTCAAATGAGTTTATCCATTCTCTAAAAGCCCAGACCAAAGCCTATACATACTGTTTTCCTCACAGGACTGTGATATATTTGAAGTTTGGGCTCAGTAAATCTGCATTTTACAACAATTACACTGACATCCATTTGAATTTTTTCAACTAGTATTTTTATTCATAAAGGGAACAAAGGTCCTCATGAATCTCTGAAAGTAGACAGCGTTTAGTTAGAAGTAAAAGTCAAGACTAAAGATGTAGAAACACACCCAAAGTTTAAGGCATGATTGAATCCACAGTAAGATCCAGAGTGTCTCCATCTTACAAAAGGACATTTTAAAGACTAAACACCATTCCCTTGGAGAAAGTCATCCTGAAACTCAAATTTTTCTACACTAAACCAAGGGTGCTATGTTTGAACCAGCACTTTAGGAGGTGCTGTGTTTCCCAAAGCCCAAAAGGTCTGCTAATACAGAAGTCACTCCAGCTGGCTATGGAAATGGATAACATGAATGATTCTGGAACTAATACTTATTCCCTCACCAACGTGAAAGAGTAGTTCCACATTCCTGAATTAGAACACCCCACCAGCTATGGGGAAAGCTGGCAGGGGACAGAATTTGACAGAATTTATGAAGGTGACCCATCTACATCAAACCAAGAGGCTGAAACAGAACATTAAATGGGTGACATCAGTTACCCCAGCAGCAATGATTACAATCAAAGGCATTATACACAAAAAAATAAACAAAATGGGGCCTGGGGCAAAGACTTCATATTAGAGTGATGAACTTCTACTGCCGCATGTGATGAGTGAAGCTGAAAATAATCTCAGTACAAAATGCCTTATTGTGTATTCCTACCAGCTGCAATACTGAGCACAAATAATTAAATATGTTAATATAATACATGTGCTAATCTGCTAATATTTTATACACATAAGCACAAACTAGAAATTTGTAAGAGATCAAGATGTGAATAGGCATTCTAAAACATCTTTCCCACATGTAATGGACTCTTAGGCACAACACTAAGGATTCACCAGCTCACACTGGATCTACTGCTACAAAATACTTATAAAAGTGCAGAGTGAAAGGTAATTACTGTAATTATCTGGAAAACTCCTGAATTACTTTCTTCCCTTTGCTAACGCACATGTGTCCTTAATACAGGCTACAGCAAACCCATTAAGATTCTAATAGTAAAAAGTCAGAGAATGGGAAATGGATAAAATATCTTAGAAGCTTCGCCCTGAAGAGTGACAAGAAGCTACAAGGTGTAAATGACCCAGAGCAGAATTGGTTTTGCTTTTGATCTAAACCATGTTCCCTATAATTGTGATTTACAGGCTCTGTGCTTTAACTCCCGCTCCGTTTCCGGCCACAGGAAGGAACCACGTAGTCATTAAAACACTGTCACATAAATAGCCACTTACCAGCTCACCTGCGAAGCGCGATGTTGGGTGAGTAGTAAAGAATACCAATTTTATTTTTTCTTACTTCTTGTAAATTCCTGAGGAAAGGGATAAATGTTCTGAACATTCACCCTTTAATTATCCACACAAGCAGATCAGAGAAGAGTTGTAGAGAAGTCCAATGACTAATTAAAAAACTTTTATATCAGCTTTGTGGTGAGTTCATAAACCCATAGGCATCTACAATACAGAGGGCAGCAGCCAGAAAAATGGTGGAGCACAGAAGTCAAGTACATGGGCCCAAGGTGAAGGGAGTGAGCTCTAAGCACTGGCTTGGATGGAAACTGACTAGTTGAATGACTTTCAGCAAGTTATTTAACCTCAAAATGTCCCATCCCCTCATCTGAGAAATGAAGAAAAAGGAAGCTAGACTAAGTAGCGAGGTGGAGAGGATTACATGACACAGGGCATTTGAAGGACTCCACAGAGTGCTTGGTAAATACTTAATAAATGCATATGACGGTATTGTTAGACTTTCAGGACTGGATGGAAATCAGCGAAGAAGAGAGAAAGAAGATGTAATTGTAGTCAAGGAAATTGCAAAGTAACGAAAGTCACTTTTAGGTTGCTTTGTGAACACCATGATTTTAAACCAGATGCCTATTCTAGGAAATCAAGAGAAAGCTGCTTTCCTTCCTACCTGAAAGAATTTTTCCTCCCTCTGTTTATTGGAGCCTAGTTACCTGTCATGGAGATAAGGAAACCTAGTGCGATGGAGGTGAACAGGGCTACCTGGAGCAGCTGAGAAGCTGGAACTCATACGTTACCTGTGCCCAGTGGTTTTTAAATACGATCATGCATGTTTCTGGATCAACTCCCTGCAGGCTCACAGCCTGCTGGAGTTTGCTTTCTGTCGCAACCGTTGACATCATAAACCTTCATAGATCAAGGCTTCTAAGTCATATTTCACATTCACAAAAATTTGGCAAGCAGTCACTAACATTCAAGTTTCACATTAGAGATGTAACTTCCTTGCATTTCATTGTCACCTTCCAAAACCTGCAATGACAATAACAAAGAATGTGTCTCATTAGGTTCATATATTAAACGGGACACGACATTAAAATCAAAATATAGATAGACTCAAAGTCCAACACAGAAGAACATACATACAAAATAGATGTTTCATCTCAATCTAAAGGCTTTCCTGTTTTCTCTCACCATGCTACTAAATATTTAAAATAATAATGCTACCAAAGTTACGGTCACAAATTAAACAATTACTGGGCTTATTCTCTATTCTATTGCTGACCACAAACTCCCTAGACTAAATTATAAATCATTCCAATCTATTTTCTATAGCCAAGCAAGAAACTGATGCCAATGTCTGTGAAATGTAAAAACACAGAAAAACATTACTTAATAGTGACAGAATTAAATGTCTTGATGCAACTTGGGATAGTTATGAAACAAACACCCAGGCTCCTGGGTCCAGTATTATTGGATTTTTTTTTTTTTTAATCAATGACTGTCATAATGGAATTGAAAGCATTCTCAGTCATTTTGTGGCTACAAACTAAGTTAAGCTTTCTAGCTTTTCTGAAAAATAATAGAATTCCAAGTAACCTTGACAAATCAGAGATAGAAATGATCCATCAAAAACAAGATAGCACTTACTAGGTGTGAGTACAGGCAGCACACTTACAAATGAAAAATGAATTATGTGGATAATATATGAAGAAAGCCTGGCTGCAACAGAGGCAGTTGGGAGAAAAGAGCTATTGAGGTCGCAGCCACACAGTGAATGTCGCCCAGTGGCACGGTGCCGGCTCTGGGCTGATGCTGTGAGATTGTGGCATTATCTTATCAGCATGATCAACCCAAAAAAAGGACTGGGTACAGTTCCAAATAGTATGTTTTAGTGTTAGATTGGAGAGAGTTCAGAGAAAAGCTATACATTATAATTATCAGCAGACTGGAAAATAAAACCCATGATAAAAGTTAAGGAAAAAGAATAGCAGTTTCCAACTGTGATGTTAAGGGCATTAAAGGGGGACACTGGGTAGCTGTTTCTCCCAAAAACAATAAAGGGGGAGCTCGGGGGCTGAGGTGATGACTCACATTAGATTTATGCATCTATTCTTTGTGGGGAGAGGAATTAAACCCTGCAAAAAGGCTAAGGAATATTCGAAAAAGTACTCCTGTGAGGCCAACCATGAAACATTAAAGGATCTTTAAAAAAATAAAACTTAACACATAAGAACAAAAAACTTGCAAGAAATAGTCATTCTGAGGAGAGAAACATTTTTTAAGGTGAACAAAGGTGGGTGTGCATGTGACGGTTGAGTATGGAGAGTGCACAGAAAGAGGAAGGTCTGTCAGGGCTGCACAAAGACATGCCTGTGGGAAATAGCTTGGAAGTACTTCCTCTGTCATATTATTTAAAAGGGTGGGTTACCCAATATATAATCCCCATCAGGAAGGAAAGGCCCCCCCTGCCCCCACAGCCTCCACCACACCATGTCACCCTCCTGCCAGCCTCGTCATCTCATTTTGGTCACCAGGCTGGCCCTTGGGGACAGTTCATTGTGCGGCCCTGTTTTGAGTGATAAGAGATAAATTAAGTTCTCGTTGCCCTAAACTTTCTCTGGAAATGACACGGCCTATTATCTAGATGCTAAAATGATAATAAGGAGGAAAAGAGGAAAACCAAAGTGTTTTTGCTTTACCCTAGAGGTTGAAAAGTCACAGACTCCGTGAGATTCCTCCCCATTCCGAGATTGTCAGGTTCTTCTTCCAAAGCACCAGAAAACATATATTATGCCAATTCCTTCTCCCTCAAAACTAGAAACATGCTGTCTGAGACCTAGTTAGTTAGTTCTCATGGGAACTATACATTCGATCTTGTCAGACAGTGAGAATGCACTGCAGACAGGAGAGATTCCTCAGCCGAGGTCAAAAACTTACAAGTTAGTTTTTATGGAAACAGAAAGTAAATCTCTTGATTCCCAGGCCAGTGTTCTTTCAAGAAGACTTTGTTCTCCTTTCTCCTGGCTACAATCCCTGGCCCTATTCCCTTCAAGAGTCTGCATCCTCCCCAAGAAAACAGCACCTCACTTGGTAGACACTTCTCCAGTCTTACTTCTGTGGCACCCGCCTGAAGAATCTCAATTTGCCACCAACACAGAAACGACCACAGCAAGAAAACTTGGGAGAGGAAGGAGTGTCAGACAAGTCAAGCCAGCCAGGTCTGAGGAGGGAAAGGCTACGGCAGAAGATCCTATAAGTGAAAACACCACCCAACACACCCGAGACCAAAGAGCTGCCTACGCCACCCCCTCTTAATCTCACGCTAGAGTCCCCAAGCACTGGCACACCCAGGGCCACGTGACACTTTCAATTTCAGATTTGCTCCAGATTTGTGAGAAGCGTAAAGGGATATAGTTTCTCAAGCAACAGGTTTTCCACATACTTCTGCATTCTCCTGTGAGCAGTCTTTAACTTTTTTCCTATTCTAGGCTTCTGAGAGATCTAATCTCAGGTCACAGCCAGAAGTACCAGGTGAAGAGCAGAGAAGGACAACGCTAGCCAGCGGCAGTGAGCAGTGCGCTGCTGCTCTTCCCCTCTGCTGCCCTCTGCTCTCTTCAGCCCCAGGAGTCTGAGGCTGGGGTGTGGGGAACAAGCCACTCATGCCACATCTTCACCGGCTCTTCCCGTAAAGAAGCACATGCCCAGCAACTGGAATGTCAAGCCCCATAGAAAGTTCCCTAAATGGTTCAGACCTTAATGAGAATGTGTTTTCCTTCTCCAAACAAACCCCTGCCAACAAAAAATTCCCAACAGATTCTTCTTCCAAAAGTAGTTGCATGTGGTATTGTGGTGTGGTTGTTGAGATTTTGGGGGAATATGTGGCTAGCATGCTGGTGCTTTTGCACAGATTCTACACTACAAAGATAGAACTCACTGTATTATTTCCAAAAACATTACTCAGCAATGGAATTTCTGTAGCGCATTAATACTGACTATAAAGTGTTTTTCATCAAGAAGGAGAAAAAAACTCAATTAAATATTGTTGGAGACTGATAACTGAACTAAGAATTATCTGGTTTGTTTTAGAATTAAATGCATTTTATTTGCTTTTGAAAGTGTATTTTTTATTTGACCATGAAAAAATTATAAGCATATGCCTGCATGTCACACAACTATACAATAATTATGTAATCATAAAAATTAGATTCTCTAATCCTCTCACACCTCTTCCCAATGTGAAAATTCTTTCAATTTCATTCCCAAATTGATAGTAGTCTTACCTAATTTCAGACTCTTTTGAAAGCTGTAATACTTATAAATGTGTCAAAATCACATTCTTTTCATGAACTATCAATGACTTACCTCTATATTGATATACTTTAATATATCCATCTTTCACTATCCAACTGAACTTACGTTGTAAACATTCTGGCATTTAGCTACATTTTATCTGATACCACCCTTTAACTCTTCTGTCTATTTAAACATAATCATCTCTAACAATGGATTTTAAAAAAAATTCCTGAAAGGAAAGAAATGGATGGTCACTTTAAGGGGATACGGAGCCAAAGGAATATTTTTATTAAGGAAAATGTGATCATATGGGCAGACCTAATGAACAGGGAAAATCTGAAGAGTCAAAAAAAAAAAAAAAAAAAAAGAACTTGGATGCAGCAACAGGAGCAGAAGAAAGGTAAGACCAGGAATACAGGTAGCGGGTCCTGGAGGTAAGGGAAGTAAAGCTGAATCTTTTCATGGTGAAACACCAAATCAGAAGCAACATCATCACCTTAATGGGAAGCAGGCTGCCCCTCCCCCTGGCCTCCTGCTAGTTCTCTGGTTGGTTGGTCATCATAGTCACAGAGTTTAGGTGGATTAAAGTGGGGAACACAGGATAAGGGCTAAGAATTTTTAAATGAATTCTCCACCCTAGATATTGGGAAACTGAAAGTCCTGACGTGGGACTTGGGGGCAGGGGCTCCGACCTGGGCGTTAAAGCCCTGGGACTCTTGCTCCTGCTTGGAGCAGCTGGGAGACCTGGAGTAAGACACGGGGCTCTTGGTTTGGAAACTTAGAGAGTTAGGAGTAAATGACTATTTCTTAAGTTGCTCCAGTTCCAAAGTCATTATTTTATGTACTTCCTTGCAACTGCTACCCTCAGCAGGAAAGGCAATCATATTCAGAAAGAAGGGCAACAGCTAGTGCACAGAAGCCTTTGTGGGACTCCAGTTGCAAAATGGGATTCTCCAGCCTCCCTGGTGGTGCAAGGGGTTAAGCACCGCACTATGAAGCAATCCACAGCCTCTACAGCACGAGTTCAATCCCTGGCCAGCCGGGGAGCAACCCACATGGCGCAGCAGACCTCTCCTGTCTCGCCCACTGCTCCCCTCAGCAGTGTATTTCAGTCAATCTGCCTGCTCTGTTCCCTGCTCTGTCTCTGGTGAATCTTCTCACCCCCTGTCCTGTACCCCAGCTCTTGTATGCATAAATAAATCTAAAAAAAGAAAAAAGAAAAATGGGATTCTCTCTCTAATTCACTTTACAATTAGAACACATTCCACTTAAGGAACCAAGGCACAGGAACCAACCATCTGAAATCTAACCCATGGATGAGTTGCTGCTGTTGTTTTTCCTGAACAGCTGCCAGTAGAAAACCTCTGTGTTTTAGAATGCACTTTGGAATGCCCAGAACTGGCTACTACTAAATACATTAAAGTCTACTACTGTAAATGTGCTTATCAGGCAAAATTCCATCTAAGGGTGAGACTCTTCAAATTTTGAGAACACCTGAAGAGAGGAGAACCTTGTGCCCTCAATTATAACTAACAGCGCTGGGGTGGGGGAGGTAGGGGAGGTTCATTTTGGGTAACACTACCTCAGACAACCTCTACTTAGAACCTAATAAATCCTATTAAACCTAAATCCTCCCTGGGCACTAATCCTCTGGCCCAGTTCCTTTTCTCTCTCCTGTCCTATCACATGGCAACGCTGGGCTGTGAAAAGCAAAGCCAGCAGCGAATAGCTGACTC